GTCTGCGACTCCCTCCCGATTGAAAACGCCAACCGCGCCCTCCGCCGCCAGCCCGCTCCGCGCACTCCGCACCTCAGAATTTGACTTCAGCACTGCGCCTCCTCTGAGTGTCCGTATGCGTTTCTCTTTCCTCCTAGTTGTAGGACTTCCACTCAGCCAGCGTTCCTGTGGTTCTGGGTGATGTCCCTTCCGTTTTTTGGTTTCACTTTTGAAGTAGTTGTTCAAAGCAGCAAACTCCAGCGTTAACCTATGCCGCCATCTTGGTTCTCCCCCAGAGGGGTTTCTTAAAAAGAAGCCCTTATCATCTCTGTAGCATGAGAGCAGACACACCTGAGAAGCAGGCTGAGGACTTAATAAGAGCTGAACTTCAGAGAAGCTTAAATGCTCAACTAAGGTTATACTGTTACGTTAAGGTCAAGGGCCTGATTGGAAAAACTTGGAACCCTAACATATGGGATAAAAACATCTGCGTGGAAGCCCCTAAGAATACTGGCACTGCAGACCTCCCTAAACCCTCAGAATCTGCAAGCCCATCACTCCCTAGCAAGTGCCAGCACTTCCCCGTGTAGGAAGATACTAAGCATGTACTGCAATGAATCGCTCAGTACTTCCCATTTACTTTCGAGACTGTATACTGAGGGAAGGGGAATACTCAGTCTTTTCAAGGATTATTGGATATAGGTCTGAGTTGACACTGAAACCCAGAAATTGGAAGTTTCATCACGGTCCCACATCATACTGGGGGCCCTTCCACGAGCTCTTTGAAGATGGTTACCCATAAGACTAACTGGAGAAAAACACCCAGCCTGAGCCCCTAATAAGGCACCATTCCTCAACTGCTTCAACGTCTTCTTGGTAGTAAGTGGTATGTATCAGGTGACTTCCATCCTAGAAGAGTGAGGCGTAGGTACATCCTCACAGGGATGCCTATTTCAGGTACAGGTTTCACCTTTCCTGTTCACAGAACAGGCATGAAATTTCACACAACATAGCACCTGACCGGGAATTCACTGCACAGCAAAGGAGGGGTCCACGTGCTGCACCCTTCAGAAGCAGCTGGCCTCAGAGAGCCCTGGAACAACCCATTGAAGGTACAGTTGAACCACCAGCTTGGAAGAAATACTTTGCAAGGATGAGTGCCATCCCTCATGACACAGTGCGTGCACTCAATCAGAGATCTCTATAAAGTGCTAAGTTCCATTCATTAGAAAGAATAAATGGGTTTAGGACCAAAGGCTAGAAGCAGAGAGGCCCTATTTATCACACCCAGTGACCCAATGGGGTATTCCCACCTCACAACTTTAGGCTCTGCAAGGTCGTCCCAAATGGGTGCACTCTTGCCAGGAGACATAGCAAGGACCCAGGTGAACTATAAACTACAGCTGTTAAGAGGCCATTTTATATTGAGTCCAGGAACTAGCAGGAAAGAACCTCCATTTTCATAGGATAACTGATCAGCAGAAGTAGGGCTTCTTTTATACCAAAAAAAAAAGGAAAACCCCAGGTCATCAACTTGGGTGCGATATTGGTTTTCTGTTGCTGCCATAACCAATTACTACAAACTTATGGCTTCAAAAAACATCAATGTATTATATCACAGCTCTATAAGTTAGAAGTCCAGTACAGGTCTCTCCAGGCCAAAATCAAGGTATGGGCAGGTTGTAGTCCTCTCTGCAGGCTCTAGGGCAGCCTGTTTCCTACTCGCTCAGGTGTTGGCAGAATTCAGTCTCTTGCAATATAGGACTGAGCAGGCTGTCAGCTGGGGGCCATATTTAGCAAATAGACACCTCTCCCTGGTCCCCCCTACATGTCAGAACCATCACTATCCTTCTCACACTGTCATTTTTCTCTGATCACAGCTGAGAAAGGTTCTCCACTTTTAAGGGCTTGACATTAGCTTGGGCCCACTGGAATAATCCAGGATATTTCCTTTCCCCATCCAAAGCCTTTAACCATAACCATGTCTGTACAATCCCTTTTACCAAGTAAAGTAGCATGTTCACAGGACCCAGGGATTAGGACATGGACATCTTGGGAGATGTTTATTCTGTCTGCCACAGGTGCAGTGTGGCACTACACTGTCTGCTGTAACTGGACATGTGTGGCTACCCTGGCCTGAGAAGGGTATGATTACCAAAGGCTCAAGACAGGAATGAGTTAGGTTCACACCACCAAGTAAGCTACATGATAACGAATGATGAAGGGAATTTATGGTGTTTAGTGAAGGGAGGTGACAAAAGTTGTTGCCCAAGGACAAACTGCAGCATTGGGAATTGTAACTTGCCCTAAGCTACCTTCCTCCTAGGAGGCCCTTCAGGAATTGTGAACATGCATGGAGAAATGAATCTGTCTGGCACAAGAGGCAGAATGCAGTGGCCATTAGAGTATGCCACCCAAACCTCAAGAGCATGTACTGCAAATAGTTAACAGCTTCCAGCTCCCTCACCTTTAGGTGTCACACTAAGGCCACACTTCCCTCAGGCTGCTACATGACTGAAAACAGAAGGGATTCTAAGTCATCACTTCTAACAGAGAAACTTCATCTAGGACTCATCAGCCCCCTCATATAGATACGATGCACTCTGGGGCTCTTCTGACCAAATCGTTTTCCTTGTGCCTAACAGAACCCAAGACCTTGGTGTGGCAACTTCTCAAAACTCACCCTTGCTGTTGGGTTTGCAAGAGTGACACAAAATTTCTGGAGTATTAATAATTCCTTGGCCTCCACTTCCCCTCCCCTATCCCAGAAAAGTGCTCATGGGCCTGTTATTTTACAAAACAATCATCTGGAATGATGAGTGGGTGCTAATGGTTTGGATATCACTTTTTAAAAAAATAGGAATTTAATAATCTTGTTGCAAAAGCATATTCTTATTTACAACTGCATAAATGCTTCTCCTGTGTTATGAGTATACTGCAGGACCTATGAAGAGATCTCAAATTCAATGGGCCTTCTGAGCTACTTTCAACCATTCTCTGGATATAAATACTTAAAGCCAAAGTGATGATGTAACAGCTATTTTCAACCAAAATAAAAATTCATCCTACTGCAAGAATTTTTTAAATAAACAATACCTATTTAGTCAGGAACACTGACCTCCTCTCCCTTAGACTGTCACATAAAAAAAAAATCACAACCAATCAGCAAATAATATTTTTGGTGTGCCACAGAATTTTAGTAATTATTTTGTGTTCCATGAGTTGAAAAGTTGAAATCGCTGGTCTAACCATAAATTTTTTGTTCCTTAGTTCGGTTCTTATAGGTGATCTTTTGGCCTCCTTGTCATAATGCACTGCAATAAACAATTTCTAGAATAGGTAACCTAACCCTACTTAAATTTTTAACTTTACTCTTCGATTCATCAAAATGATCTTGATAGCCCTGGCAGGTATGGCTCAGTTGGTTGGGTGCCATCCTGTGCACCACAAGATTGCTGGTCCCATTTCCGGTCAGGGCATATGCCTGGGTTGTGGGCTCTATCCCAGGTAGCGGGCGTGCAGGAGGCAGCTGACTGATGTTCGCTCTCACGTCAATGTTTCTTTTTCCTCATTCTCTCTCCATTCCCCTCTTAAACAAACAAAAACAGTAACTTTTATAAGATCTGGACAACTTATGCCTACCTGTGACCCAGCACCAGATCCAACTTCTCCGGGAGTTTTATATATTCATATACATATACATATGTAATTTACATACATTTACATAGAAGATGGATGGTTAAAGATACATGTTTATGGATATACATTCCTAGTCCTACAGAACTTTAAAAATGATAATCAGGCATTGTGAAAGAGAAATGGGAGTAGAAGTAGGGGGCACAGAGGAGAGTGGAAAGGAAGATATTTGGAACTGGTAAGCTTTAATAGGGAGGTCCTACCCCTTTCCATTTACTTCTAACAGAACTTTATCTTATCCTGCAAACCAAAACTAAAGTAAGTTACTGAAAGTGTATTTACTTCTTGGGATTTGTCCTATTTTCCCTTTCCCATCAGAAACAGCTCCCTAAGGACCACCACCCCAATTATATACATATATATTTTCTCTCAAATACAAATAAAACATGCATTCAAGTGATTTATATTTTCATAACATTTTAATATTTAATAGAAACTATATACAATAATTTTTTATGGCATTTTACATTAGGATAGTCACTACAGAAATTTACATACGTTGAAGATGGATGGTTAAGGAGGACCCAGTCCTGTGGGCTATTTTCTGAAGTTACAGGCCAGAGTTTATTGGGGAGGAAGGGAGTTCAGAATCCCCAACTAGGTGAGAGGTGAGAAAAGGCTAAAACACAAGCTGCTATATAGCAATGGCCAGACACGGGGTCCATCAATATCCCAGGGGTGCACAACTCCCACTTAAAGACTTTGGAAATCCCCTTACCAAGATGTCTCTTCTCATGGCACAGAGTCCCAAATACTTGCTCGATCCCAGCAGCTCTGACAAGATTCACCTATTTTTCTTCCTCGCCCAGAGCGGAAAGACACAACTTTTAAACACTACTACTGGTCCCTGCCCCCCAAATTTGGTGTATGTTTGACTATAGCACTCAATAACCCAGAAGGAAAACAAAGTAGTCTGGGTTGTCCTTTAGAGAGGTCAGAAATACTTGTTTAAAGAATGGGAAATTCAAATCCTCCAAAGTCAAACAGTTCCCCAAACAATCAACTGATAGAACTGTGTTCTGGCTTCCCGTTTGCAGTCGCCACTCCACTTTGAGACAACGGTGCAGAGGCTTTCTCAGAATTTCGAGATCCCTGTGATCTGCACCCATCTCCGGCCATCTGCATCTGTCCCTGTTAAAAGAAAGTTACCTTGGTTACAAATTCATTTGTTGTGGTCTGAAGCGTGAATCTGACTTATCAGTGCCCATGTATCATAGCAATAAGAACAAGACAGCAGAAATAAAATAATACTGGACAGTTGCTCTTCCCCATACTTGTTATTTCTTGAAGCATTCCTAAGACTCCCAATGGGAGGGAGAGCTGTGGGTTGTTTCTTCCAAATGAAACAGCCATTCTGTGCTGAATTTCCAGAACAACCAACAGATCACAGGAAGATGGTCCTTTGGGCCTCTGCTTGAAACCAACAGCTATAGTGTAAGTGCTGGTCTTCAGTCAGGGCCATTTGTATCCCACCCAAGGCTCAGAGAAAGAAACCAAATTACATTACTTATCCTTACCCTATGATGAAAATAATTCCAGTGCTGAACTCTGCCTTAAAAGGAACAATGTACCTAGATTCCTTGTCTAGCTAACTAAATAAATGTGTCCTGCTGAGATATGAAAACCAGGATTTCTAAGAGCCTATCTGGAGAACTACCATCTGGGACACCTTTACAGTCTCCGTGTGATGACATCCCCACTCACGCTCTGGGAGTACATGCTAGCACAGCCAGCAAGGAACCCTCTGCCTGGCTGCATGGCTACATGAGGGAAGCCTGGCCGGGTTGTTCTTCACTTGCCAAAGTATCCACTGGGCCTTCAGCAGTGTCTCTGACTGAATGATCTTCAAGGGTTAGTGAAGGATCAAAAAGCAAGGGTGAAGGAGGACACTGCATACCATCACCCACAACATCCAAGTCCTAGGAAAAGACAGAGAAATGCGTATCAGCAATACCAAACGAACCAATTAGCTAAAGTTGGCATATTTTTCAGCAAACCATAAAGCAATTTTCCCACACTTCCTTTACCCCTTACCTACCTTGAATCAAAAAGACTTTCCCATAATGTCCAACAAATGGGGTAAGATCCAAAAGCACTAAGCATTTTTCCTTGCTGCCAAGTATAAAGCAGGGACCACCAGTCGCTTTAAAAAGCATATTTTCCGCCCTGACCGGTTTGGCTCAGTGGATAGAGCATTGGCCTGGGGACTGAAGGGTCCCGGGTTCGGTTCTGGTCAAGGGCATGTGCCTTGTTTGCAGGCATATCCCCAGTGGGGGGTGTGCAGGAGGCAGCTGATCGATGTTTCTCTCTCATCGATGTTTCTGGCTCTCTATCCCTCTCCCTTCCTCTCTGTAAAAAAAGCAATAAAATATATTAAAAAAAAAAAAAAAAAAAGCATATTTTCCAATCAGCATAGTTACAAATTAAACTGAAATACTGCCTTAAAAAATGGGTAATATGAGATTGTTTGATTAATGTCCTAACAGCCACAAAGCAAGCCAGTGAGCAAGAGGGAAAGGGAGAGAAGAGAAATAAATACGTAAAAAAACTCAAAGTCCCTCTTAACAGCTAAAAAAAACCTGTTTTGGTTAAGTCCGTATCCCCACAGAATTATGAGTTCCTGATTCTTAAACCTAACAATCCAAATGTAAACAAACAAAAAAAAATATTATATTTACAGACTATGTTTCATCCAATTGAATTGGCCATTCCCACTGGGTCCTGAATGGCCAACAAACCACAGGAAGACATTGCTCTTGGCTCCTGTTTGAAACCAACAGCTACAAAAAAACCACTGGTCTTGATTCAGGGCCTAAAGCATTGCAAAGGCTCAGACAATGTGTCAAACAGACTTGCAAGTCACCACTTTCTAAGAGGCTATCCCTAAACTCCCCTGTTTAAGAGTGAAAATTACCCAAGGGTTTGTACTCCCTTATGTCCAATCCACTTTCTAGAGAGTCTATGTTTCCACTAATCTAATTTCACGAGAAGCTCACTTATTTCTATGCTTTTAAATAGGTTACGTCTTAGAGTCCAAAAACCTTCCCCTTCCTTGAATCACATCTTCAAAACAATTAAGGTTGAAAAAAGTAAGTAAAGAACACTGGACTTAAAGCTGGTTAATTTAAGCAGAAACACAAAGAAAAGGATATCAGCTACCTAAAAGGATACATTCACTTCAGATATAAAATATCCACAGAAACCAGGGCTCTCATATGGTTAAGACAATAAACTATTTTCTTTAATTCTTTTACTACGCACATTTATTATACAAACTAGAGGATTCATGCACCGGTGGAGTCCCTCAGCCTGACCCGCTCCCCCTGGAAGCAGCAGGCAGCCAGGGAAGAGCCCAAGCCCAGGCTGGGCCCCTGCTCAGCTCCCACTCATCCCAGCCCAGCTGCGCCTGCCACCGCTGTTGCTCAGCAGCGTGCTGCCACCGCAGCTGCAATCACCAGCCATGAGTCTGGCATCCGGCGCCCCACTGTGGGAAGCTCCTGTGTTGAGCGTCTGCCCCCTGATGGTCAGTGCATGTCATAGCAACTAGTCAAACGGTCATTCGGTCACTTGGGCTTTTATATAGAGATAATTAACTTGGAATTTAAAAGAACTCATTTAAGTGGTGAGGCAAAAGACTTCCAAGTCTCAAGAGGACAACAGTCAAGAAATGTTTTCAAAAGAAAATAGATACTGAAAAGGCTTTTCTCACATAGTTACAGTGTTGTCTTTAAAGAGAACTGAATTTGGAGAAAGGAACCAAGAAAGGAAAAAATAATCAGCAGAAAAGCCTACCATAACAGGAATGTTTAATTGCAAGTATCAAAACATTCTGAGAATCCATTTTTGTTCTGATCTCAAAAACCATAAACACACACAGAGCAAGCTCAAAGTTAATAGGAATAAACTATGATGTTATTTGCCAAACATCTTTGGATCAAAACACAGAAAACAGACAAGTGTAATATCCAGAATGACATGCTTTTCGTGTCTCAGCCTTTTGGCTAAGATCAAGTGTAGAATTTTTACCCATAGTAATAGCTCATATCAGGCCCTCCCCTGAGTGAAGTTATCAAAAGTTATTAACATGTTATAGAAACTATATCTAAAACAATACAGGTAACAAAACTGCTTAGTGAAACTCATAATTAAGAAATCGTTTTTGCCCTAGCTAGTTTGGCTCAGTGGACAGAGCACTGGCCTGTGGACCAAAGGGTCCCGGGTTCAATTCCGGTCAAGGGCACATACCTTCGGTTGTAGGATCCTCCTTGGCCCGGGCCCTGGTTGGGGTGCGTGCAGGAGGCAACCAATTGATGTGTTTCTCTCACATAGATATTGCTTTGTCTTTCCCTCTCTCTAAAAATCAATGGAAAAATATCCTCCGGTGAGGATTTAAAAAAAAGAAATCATTTTTTCCCAGCAAAATTTTATACTAATATATCCAGAATTTGTGGGAGGACAAAGATTATTTTCTAAAACTGCATTTTATTTCAAATTTTCTGGAGAATTTACCTCCAAAAGATTAAGAATAAAACTATTTTTTAATAACCAATGTAGTTCATCAAAAGAACATAATTATAAACACAATAGATCATCAATTACAAATAGCTAATTGTTTTACAAAGGTCCATCTTAAAAACCCACTGGATTCTCAAAAGTAAAGCTTTTTTCTCTTATATTCTTTAAGAAATCCATGCCAAATATAAAGATGAACAGATCTGATAGCATATATTTTTTAGAATCTTTTAAAATTAAGAATTCTTAAATCTAATAGGAATGAAGAAACCAAAAAAAAAAAAAAAAAAAGATTTCTTAAATGTTAAGTTTGCCTACCATCACATCTTACAGTCTTTAATATTTTGTGTAACTATTCTCCAAAGAACAAACAAGACTATAATCTCCAAAGATATTGGGACAGTCATATTTTCTTAACTCTAGTTATCAAAGGTTTGAGAAAGAAAAGATCACTTAAAACTAACATGGCAAAACAGGTGAAAGGGGAAAACCAAAATAATCAAAATAGAAATGGCTCTCAAAATTATCAGGTAACAAATATTAATAATCTAGTACATCTATATAAAACACATACTAGTTTTTACATTAACATTTGAAGAGAATTTGGTGATGTAGTGGTTATTAGGTTATAGTTAGACCCTATAAAGCTCCTCATATTACTGAGTTTTAAAAATAAAAGCACCCCTTGGGTTTTCCTCACATGTAAAATAAAGGAGTAGCTAAAAATCTGTCTCCCTCAAAGCCCACCGCATGGGAGAACATATTCGCCAATGTTATCACCGATAAGGGTTTAATCTCCAACATTTACAGGGAACTCATACAACTTAACAAAAGGAAGATAAACAATCCAATCAAAAAATGGGCAAAGGACTTAAATAGACACTTTTCAAAAGAGGACATTCAGAAAGCCAAGAGACATACGAAAACATGCTCAAAGTCACTAATCATCCGAGAGATGCAAATCAAAACCACAATGAGGTACCATCTCACACCTGTCAGAATGGCTATCAACAAATACACAAACAACAAGTGCTGGACAGGATGCGGAGAAAAGGGAACATTCATGCACTGCTGGTGGGAATGCAGACTGGTGCAGCCACTATGGAAGACAGTATGGAGTTTCCTCAAAAAGTTAAAAATGGAGCTCCCATTTGACCCCGTGATCCCACTTCTAGGAATATATCCCAAGAAACCAGAAACACCAATCAGAAAGGATATATGCACCCCTATGTTCATAGCAGCACAATTCACCATAGCTACGATCTGGAAACAGCCTAACTGCCCATCAGCAGATGAATGGATTAGAAAACTGTGGTACATCTACACGATGGAATACTATGCTACTGTAAAAAGGAAGGAATTCTTACCATTTGCAACAGCATGGATGGAACTGGAGAGCATTATGCTAAGCGAAATAAGCCAGTCAATGAAAGAAAAATACCACATGATCTCACTCATTTATGGATAATAAGGATCATTATAAACTGATGAACAAATATAGATACATAGGCAGAGCAGCCTTGAACAGACTGTCAAACTACAGCAGGAAGGCTGGGGAGCGTTGGGGGGCGGGAGTAAGAGATCAACCGAAGGACTTGTATGCATGCATATAAGCATAATCAATGGACATAAGACACTGGGGGGGTAGAGAAGGCTGGGGGATTGTCAAGGGGGGGGCGGGGGGGAGGAGACATATGTAATACTCTTTGTAATACTTTAAGCAATAAAAAAATAAAACCTGTCCCCCTCAATTTAGAGTTACTTATTTACTCTAACATAATCTCAGTAGAAAAGTTTGGGAAACACCAGAATGCATAATCTCTAAGGTCCCTTTCGAGTTCTCATAAGCCATGAATCTGTGTGAAAGAAATTTTTTCTTTTTAAAACTTTTTAAAGAGCAATTATAATCAGGATTATAACAAAAATTGTATTATAAATGAAGTAATAAAA